GCAGGGACCTCTTGGATATCTCTGCTGATGGAGAAGAGATAAAACACAGGCTACCCCGATCATATTTAATTCTGATGAACTTCACATATTAATTCAACAGTTAGGTCAACTTTCTTTCCAGTTGTTAGGCTTTAGCTAGACTTAGCTTCCTAGGTTTTGTTTGGCTTTCTAGTTTGGGTTCCATATATATGTTTATATTTTTTGAGATAGGATTTCACCTGGTAGCCCAAGCTGCCCTCAAACTCATGATTCTCCTGTCTCAAGCTCAAAAGCACTGGGATTATAGGTATGAGCAGTTATACTTAGCTTTTTACACTGTATTAGCTTCTCATGGTATGACTTTTGCATTTTCTAAACCAACAGTTTAACAGAATCCAATGAATCTGAGTCTGAGTAAAACCAACCTCAGATGGCAAACAAATTATGGATAATCTCCAAAATAGAGATCATTTACAGGTCAGCAAGCAAGAACTGACTGAGGTTCAACTACCAAAATCATTTAGTTCCTGATGAGCTCATTCTAAGCACTCCTTCCAAGAAAGCAATGATAAGAAATGGATCAAAAGCAAAAATGTAGATCAGCAACACTATGACAAGTGAATAATGGCAAATTTCCTTCCTTATTTAGCTCATTATTTACCTTATGTATCAATTCTGAGTCCACAGGCCTGAAAGGGAAATTCTTCAGTCTCACTTAAAGCGACACTCATTACATATGCTATTCTTCACAGCAATCAACCCATGTCATCAGGTTAATTTATTCTCCCACAAATAAAGTACTCTTATTTTCTGAACCTCAAATTAGAGCATATGGCCTAATATACAATAGCATAGTTTTACGAAGAAGACACTGGGGCCCACTATGGAACCAGAAAAACAAGCCAGGAATAAAACTCATATCACAGTTCTAATCACCTTACTTTGCTTCTCAGAGATATAAATTTCTATTCACTGCAAGAATAGCTCTGGTTCTTCCAGTCTCAAACACAAACCACTTCATCTACCTTCTTTCTTTCAAAGAGGAAACTGATGCTGTTGCAAGAATATAGGACTGGGGTCTAACTTGTGAAGCGACTACATTAGTTTGGAAAAAGCTGTGCTTAGAATCAAGTTTTTATTTTCAGTCAGGAAAACCAAGAGGTACCTTTTGTCCACATCAAATGTTCCTTGCAGAATTCAGAATGACTTTTGGGTCAAGAAGATTTCTGGAACAGGCCCTTTGTCACTGAATGACAACCCGTAATCATTCTAAAACTGTATTAATAAAAAGAAAAAAATAAAGAGGGATGTTACTGTCTGCATCGTGCACAGAAGCACATCACTATAGGTTCACTAAAAATTGTAAACCAAATCTCTGTGCATCTCCTACGTTTGCTAGTAATAACACATCAAAGCCCAGAAAGCTAGCAATGTACAACACCATTTCTGATTCTGTTTAGAGATGAAGTGCTATGGTTATTATTCCCATTGGCTAATATTGACTTTTAAAAAAAATTAGGAAATGTATGTAAATATTATAGATAAATATTATAAATAAATATGTATAGATACTGATATAGATGCTGAGAATATTTTCCTTAGGTATTTCTTACTCATATATTGGATTCCATTTTCATATATTGCTTCAAAGATCCTTTTCAAAACCAAATTGACAAGAAATGCAGTAAGCACTTGTGACATTCTACGTGTTTTTAAGCATGAGTTATGAACATAGGTCAGAATACTCAGTTTACCAACAAGACTATATTATAACAAAGCTGAAATCAAAATGTTTACTTACCTATTATCAGTGTAGGTATTAACTGAAGACAAAAAGAGTTATTTTTCATTAAGTGAATTGCTTCCCGTTAGTAGTTAGAATAAAGAGCTTCAAAATATGCTCTATTCATTCAGCTTGACTTACATTTTAAAAATCTCAAACTCCTGTTTATCTAACAAAGAATAACAGCATTATATACTCTTATTTCTTAACTGAAAATTCAAATTTGGTAAGTCTTGAGAGGTACTTAAAAAATGTCAAGCTTCTCATGACCTTACCTATGCAACTGTAACCCCTCTGTACATCACTTTTACAATAATTTTTAAAAAGTCAAGCTAGTTTGATATCTTTTCAACTCCACAGTACAGTTTGGAAATGAAAGAGGCCAAATCATAAGCATAGTAAAATATCCTTGTTTTATACTAGGAGGAGGAGGACAAGAACACAAGAGGTAGAGAGGGAGTGGGGGGATGGGGAAAGAGAGAGGGGGAGATGAAATAGGGAAAAAAGAAAAAAGAAGAGAATGAGGGGGGAGAGTAAGAGGAAGGAAGAAAGGAAAGAGGGAGGGAGGGAGGAAGGGAAGAAGGGAGAAAGGAACAGGGAGAGGGAGATGAAGTAAGGAAGAAAAGAAGAAACAAGGGTAGGAGGGAGGGAGGGAAGGAAGGAAGGAAGGAAGGAAGGAAGGAAGGAAGCAAGCAAGCAAGCAAGGAAGCAAGGAAGGAAGGAAGAAAGGAAGGAAGGAAGGTAGGAAGGAGGGAAGGAACAAAGAGAGAGGGGGAGGAGGGGAGGGAGGGAAAGAGAGAGGGAAGAAAAGACTCCAAGAATCCAGATGAACTGACTTGCTCACAAATAACAACCAAGATCTCTTGATTTCCTGGACCAGATGTTGTGCTCTGGCAGCGAGGTGCTCTCTTTCACAAAAATCATTCCTCTTCTCCTCCCCATACTGTTAGTATAACTTTTCCCCTACTTAACCAGTTACAGGAGAGAACAGTTTATCCACCACTGAAGACTGATTGGGATGACCCTTAGGGTGATTTCAGTTAACATCTGAAAAACAATGAAAGGATTTCACATCCTCAAAATTTCTTTCTATCTTACTACACCTATGGTGGCCTCTAAGAAGATAGCTTCTTAAATCAGTTTCACTGCACCCCTGGGAGCATTTTTTTGACAATATAAAATTCGCACAAATAATCCTAATCCTGTTTGCCTAGCTTGGACTTCAGAAAGTGCTATAAACTCACACGCACATTCAGTGATGTGGTTCTATACTCTTTATGTAAGAGCCATACTTATACGGAAATGCCCCTGAACAAGTTGGGAAAGCTAAAATCTGCTTTCTCAGTGCAGAATCAAAAGTCAGACATCCTGGATCTTCCAGGAGGTAGGGAGAAATATCTTTAGCGACAACCTAATATTGAGTTTGAAAGTCTACAATTGTCACTTCTTTACTTCTTACCCTAAAAATACCATATCAGATAAAGGCAAGTCCCAGGAATATCAAATGATTATGTTTCCAGAATTTTCAGAAAGATTTGATATAACATGCATCATGATATAAAGTTAATAAAACTTTCCTGATTTAGAAAGGAAATGTCATGGAAACAATGAAATCCAATATACCTTCTCATGTTAACATTGCCAAGTCATTGCTACTACTATTCTACCATGTTGAATCAACACCCTATGATAGGATCAATTTTTTCCAAGATACAACTTGACCCAGTTGGGTATAATATAAAAAAAATCACAGTCCTGCATTGTAGTTAACATTTAAGGCCACATTATGCTTGAGATCTTTACCAAAAAGAGGAGACTCCAGTAATTAGTGAATAACTGTTTTTGTAAAGTCACTTATTGTAAGGACACCAAAATTAAATAAATAAACCATATTTTTTACATTATCCTAAAAACTTAGATGAAACTCGTGAGTTCTGTATCCTTTTTTCTCTAACAGAAAAATTAAGTAAACCACTCACCAGTGGCTTACACCTGTAATGCTAGTTTCAGGAGGCTAACTTGAGAATCAGGGTTTGAGGTCAGGATGACTGTCCTGAGATTCTTATCCCCAATTAACCACTAACAATCTAGAAGTAGAGCTGTGGCTCAAGTGATAGAGTGCTAACCATGAGCAAAATTCTCAGGCACAGTGCTGAGGCCCTGAGTTCAAAACCTGATACCAGAAACAAGAAAGCAAGATAGGTAAACAAGAAAGAGAAAGAGAGAGAAGAAAGGAAGGAAGGAAAGAAGGAAAGAAGGAAGATTAACTGGTTATTAAGCAATACCAGCATTATATGGAGCTCAACATTTCAGAATTTTCACGTATTTTCTTTTGCTTTCAATAATTATAAAGTGTAACATTTCCTCTTTTTAATGAATGAGGAAATCTAGGTACATAAATGTTAAGTGATTTTTCTCAAAGTGATAGTGACCAATTAAATAGCCTTACCTTTAGTCTAGTGCTTGCTACATTCTTGCTTCAACCCCAAAATGTATTAAAATGTCATCCATGAAGTCTTAAACATAAGATAGAATTTTCTTATTTGTTTTTTGTTTAACTTTCTGTTCTCTAGTATTGATCTTTTATTTTCCCATATAATCAATTCTTAGATGCTTGCATTTCCTTCCTCAAATGTTTCAAAATTATTTTTTTTTTCTGTAAGTAGTGGGAAAAGAGCCAGAAGAGTGTAGATTTACTTTAAATTCTGACACTGTATTCACTTTGAATTTCAAATGGTATTAAAGGAGAGGTAATATCAGTGAAATACATCAGCTAGGCCTAAAAAAGCTGGAGAAAAGGCAATTCCAGGTCTTAGTTTCCTGTTCTTTCTTGTTATTGTTATCATTGTTATTGTCAGAGTTCATTGTACATTTCATACAGTCTATATGGAATTTTTCTCCCAAAGCTCTGAAACATCTTTTTGTAAGCAACAGAGGTTGAAAAATGGAAAATATGGCCTCTTATGTGTGTATATGGAGTATCCAACCAATATTTCATTATGATCTATATGAGAAAGGCTGAACACTAATTGTTACCTCACATTCTAGGACAACTTATAAGTTAAATGCATCTTTTTAAAAGTCATATAATCCTTTAATACATGTGATAAGGATGATTGAACCAGATGTCTTGACCCAATTCTTTCTCATACTCATTTTAGCAAATAGAATGCCAAACTCTGAGGTGAATTCCCACATTCTGATCTTCTGCAGCTGCACACGCACACAGAAAAAAATGAACTTAATAAAATCTAGCATTTCTATTGCACGTTTAATAGAAAGATCTGAAGCCATAATCAGGATAGCTGCTGGGCATCTTATTTCTTCAAGAATACTTTCAGTGCATGCATTAACTTTGGTTAAATTATTCTGGAGTTAAAAGGCAGAAAAATTCTTAAAATAGTATGGTTTCTGAAGCATTATTTTAACAGATCAATTTCAAATTATTCATTTGCTGAATTTTACTCCATAGTCCCTTTGTAGATCAGTTATTTTGATTTTTAAAACAGGAGAGAATCATGTGCTGTTAACTGTGTGGTTGTTAATCTCACAGAATGCAAAGAACAATAAAATAAGACTAAGAAATCACTCTTTCAATGATTGTCATTGAACTGATACATTAGTAAACATTCACAGTATGAAGTCTCTCTCCTTCTTCAGCATATAAAGTAGTACAAATGGGGAAAAAATTCCAGTCCTGTAACCTGTGAACAGAATTTGTTACATTTTCTCCAATTTCATTTCTTCCAGAATGTTAGGCATTTGCTTTTAAATCTTCTCAAAATTAATAATAAAATATAATCATTTTCTAAAGGCCCCTGCAGCCTCTTTAAAAGTTAATTTCCAGTTAAAAATAAACTTTAATTAAATCCAAGATAAAATTGTGACCTATATTCTATTAAATAATTTACTTTCTCTTTTTTTCTACACAATAATTTTTACAACATTTTAAAAACAACTACAGAATCCAAAGACATAGGAGATGATATTAAAGCACTGATAAATGACTGCTCAAATTCATTAGTTCTTACATAGTAAATACTTCAAAATGCCAACTTTTCCCATTACTTCACAATTACCAACAATGTTGACAATTTACTTACACAGACATACACATGCCACACACATTCACACATACACGCACACGCGCGCACGCACACACACACGTTCCATGGAACCATCTTTACTATTAACATCTTTTCCAGGTAATGTGCAAAATTCTTGCCTTCTAATAAAAATATAAAGATAGATTTGCTCCTATTTAAGCCTCCCTCTTCTCCAAGATCATTTTTGGATATGTCATACAAATTTAGTAACAATTATGCCATGTATTACCATTAAATGGCATACTACTGTATGCACTGAAATCATTTGCATATTTCATTTTCATAACTGTACTCTATGCATAAATATATTTGGAGATGCTGGGGGAGGGGGCAGTGGCAGGTGGAGAAAGTGATTCACACATCAGTCTCCACAGCCTTTGCATTCGAGCAGTTGTTTTTATCTGTCTCACTGTCATCCCCCTTGCCCTGACACTGTTCTTCCTTTGCACATAGAGATTCCTTAACTCCTTCTTCCATCTCTAGGTACTCTGATTTGTCACCCAGGGAAGAAGAAGTAGAGCTCCGAAATTTCTTGAGCAAATTAGAAGGGAGATACGGACAACTGACTGCGTTTTGTGTCAGCTGCGTCTGTTCCTCGTTTTCTGTCTCTCTGTGGTAGAAATAGTTAAAGTTAGAGACAATCACTGGCACTGGCAAAGCAATGGTTAAGACACCAGCAATGGCACACAAGGACCCCACGATCTTGCCCCCCACGGTGATGGGCTTCATGTCCCCGTAGCCCACAGTTGTCATGGTTACCACAGCCCACCAAAATGCATCCGGGATGCTTTGGAAATGGGTAGTGGGTTCATCGGCCTCTGCGAAATACACAGCACTGGAAAAGAGGATGACCCCGATGAAGAGGAAGAAGATCAGAAGGCCCAGTTCCCGCATGCTGGCTCGGAGGGTGTGCCCCAGGATCTGTAGGCCTTTGGAGTGTCTGGAAAGTTTGAAGATCCGGAATACTCGGACCAGACGAATGATCCTAAGGATGGCAAAGGACATGGCCTGCTGCTGCTGACCATTGCCACCCCCTTGCTGCTGGGCCAGGTCCGTGCCCAAGGTGATGAAGTAAGGCAAAATGGAGACAATGTCAATGATGTTCATGATGTTTTTGAAGAAGAGTGCTTGGCTGGGACAAGCAAAGCAGCGGACCACAAACTCAAAGGAAAACCACACAATACAGACCGTCTCCACGATGAAGAAGGGGTCGTTGAATATGGTGTGCCCTGAATTCTCCAGATGGGGGGAGGTGTCATTCAACAACCCACCGTGCCCACTGGAACTCAGTGCCATGACAAGATCCCTGTCGTCTCTGAACTCAGGCAAGGTTTCCAAGCAAAAGATGACGATGGAGATTAAGATGACCAGGACGGACACAATGGCGATGCCCCTGGCCGGACTGGAACTTTCTGGATATTCAAAGAGAAGCCAAATCTGCTTTTTGAATTCATTCTCTGGCAGGGCCCTGTCCTCCTCTTCTCTCACGAAGCCTTCATCCTCCCGGAACTTGAGCAGGGCCTCTTCTCCCAACTGATAGAACTTCACCTCCTCCGTGAAGATATCACAGGGGACATTGACTGGCCTCTTCAGGCGGCCTCCTGACTGGTAATAATATAAGATGGCGTCAAAGCTGGGTCTGTTCCTGTCAAAGAAATACTCATTGCGTAAAGGATCAAAATACTGAGTCCTCTTTTCCGGATCCCCCAACAAGGTTTCTGGAAACTGGGCCAGCGTTTTCATCTGGGTCTCGAAACGCAAGCCGGACACATTGATCACCACGCGCTCACAGCAATCGCTGTAGCGGACGGAACTGTAGCCACCGCCGCCACCATCGTCCTCGGGCAGCAAGTCCGTGTAGGAGCACTCATCCCCATGGTCGTCTTCGCTGTAGTAAAACCTTCCCTCCTCTTCCTCCTCCTCCTCCTCCTCCTCCTCTTCCTCCTCCTCGCTCAGCTCTCTCAGGATCTTCTCCTCTGAACCACTGGGCATCAGGTCCGAGCAATGGGGAAAGCTGCTCTGCCGGTGGTGGAGCTTCTTCTTCTCGGGCCGCTGTCGCCTCCGCCTCCTACTACCCCGACTGCTTTGAGGGTCGTGAGAGGTGCAGGCCCCACGTGTCTGGTGGTGGTGATGGGGTCCCCCACCCGAACCCCCACTGCCTTCCACGGCAGCCGTGGCAGCGGCCACAGCTGCCGCAGCAGCAGCCCTCGAATGAGCCAGCCTCTCTCGCTCCCGGGCCCGGGCCTGGGCTGCGTAACCATAAGGCATGTGACTGTTGCATCCAGAGCTCTCGGCACTGACCATGGCCACCTCCATGGTGGCGGTTCGGGGAAATGGCTGGTTCCGGTTGTAGAAGGAGAAGAAGACGAAGAAAGAGAAAATAGGGCAAGCAAGCTTCTTTTGCTCACCAAATTAAGGTAAGTTTGGAACCTTTAAGCAGATTGCTTGGAAGACTAAGGATATTTTGAGTCCAGCTTTGCATTTTCTGTTTTTAAATCAGCACGCCCCATGCTCTCCTCGGAGATGCAACATTGCTCGCCACAGCTTGGCTAGTCTAGATAAATAGTCTAGTGCTCCTCCAACCTAAGTCACAAAAGTGTTGGCTTTCCCCAGTTAGCCTATGTGTGGGGGGTAGAAGTTTACCTCTGAAACGATATCTGGGAGGTGGTCAGTGATGATACCGTTGAACTTAAAGGCAGCAAGCCTCTGATAGTCAGCAGTTGTGCTTAAAAATGGAAGGATATTTTCTCGGCCATGAAAATTGTCCAAATCCCAGCCCATCAAATTTAAATAAAATGAAAATGCTTCTTTAGGCTGACTTAGCACTTGCCTTGTAGTGATGGATTGACCCATATTAAGATGTAGCTTAATGTATGTCCAGCCATTGCTGCTCAAAGCCTATCAGTATGATTCTCCAGGCTCTAACTTTAAGTTCCTCAAAGGCTGCCTGAACCCAAGGGCAGTGCTAAACTGTAGGTAGAGGCAAAGACCTTGGGAGGTAGAGAAGATGCAAGATGAGGTGTCAGCAGAGGCAAACCCAGCTCTGAGGTCTCCATAGAAATTAAGGAAAGGCAGAGCATCCTTCAGCTACAATCATGCCGAAGAAGTACTTCACCTGAAAAAAAACAGATGGGAAACAAGCAGAGGAGAAAAACAAAAAGAGGATTCAAATCATAAAGAGCAAACTGAGTTTCACTTCATATACACTTTCTTCTCTGGTCCTCAGACAAGTCATAGAATGCACAGCAAGAGAGCGTACATTTTCAAGAGTACGGGAGGAGCAGGTTGTTCTTAAATTTTTCACCCCCACCATCTCTTTTCCCTTCTTCTTTGGTTATTATTTCCCTTCCATCAGCCCATTTTTTCATGGTAACTCAATTACTCTTCTTCTCCACCCACATGGATACTGCTTCCCTCTCTCCCTTCACCAACGTCAGGTTGTAATTTTCTTCATCCATACTATAATGCTGGAACTTTATCATTCTTTCTATCATCCATTTATCTCAAGACATTCTGTTTAATTTCCTCTCATAAAATGTTTCTGAATTAAGCACCCATTCCTACTTTCAGGATTAGGGAAGTCAACAAGAGGGAAAAAACAAAACAAAACACCAATGATCATTAGTATAGACTCTGCTACTTAACTGAGCTTCAAGTTATATTATGTACAAAGTGTAGATAATATAAAATGACCATCTCCTTCTCACCTCTGACAGTATCAAATGAGGTAGTAGGTACTGACAGCATACCATACTGCCTTGAATAAAGGATGGCAAAAAAAAATACATCAGCTCTGAATAATGACAGTAACCTATGCACTTATTGTTCATCTTCCCATCCCCAAAGGGTTATTTCTGTCTCGAGTAGATAGAAATAAATAGATAGAATGAGAGGACATCTGGGGCATTCTGACCTTCACCAATGACTATATTAAGTGGACATTCATTGATTCCCTAAACCAAGTCCTTGCTTTTTCTTCTCCTGATTCCTGAATGCTCCCTACCACCCACTACCGAGGCGCTAATTCCAGTTTCCACATCTTTAGTAATCACCCTCTGTCCCTGTAGTTTCTCCATGTTCACATCAATGGCTCTAATTACACTCTTGTGATAGAACTATCTAGCTTTTAAATCCTAGTTTATGTGAATTTTCTTCCTAGTCTACCACACATGACCCCTTTAATAAACTGTATCTCCCATTTCTCCAGTTTTCACTATCTTTATTTCTAATCTCCCACTTTCTGATCACATGTCACCTGAAGTCCAGATCTGCCCCATTACCACCCACTATTCCTTAGTTTGCTCTCTCTCAAGTCTCACAAATTCGTCTTCTCAGCCAGCACCTATAAAACCTACTCCTATCTCCTGCCTCCTCTTGCTTCTTTCATTTACTCTATCTATGAGGACTTCTAAGAATGCAGAAAGTGAATTTCCAGAGAACTGGAGAGGATGATGACAGAATTCAGAGCATCCACCAGCTTCTATTACTGGAAGTACTTGGGAAGTGTAAGAGAAATGGCTTTATGAAGCCATTAAGGGATTCAGCTCTTGACTACCTGCTGCTCCTTGATGAACCTGTTAGCCTTGCCACAGAAACATGCTCAAGTGTTAGGAAGTGACCCGAAAGGAAAAGACAAACAGAGCGTCTCAATCATACACATTCTCCTAGAGCAAGAGGAGAGATGGAGACATAAACTCTAGAAAACATTCCCCTGAAAGTATCGCATGTAACATTCCATCTCCTTTGCCTGACTCCTAACATCATCTTGTACTCAGAACTATTTACCAACAGGAGGTCTCCAACTCCTTTACTTACAAAAGTGCCCTATCGTTATATTCACTGTCCAGTGTGGGGACTTAGATCCTTTAAAGACTTACACAGGCCAAAGAGGTGGAGTGGTTGTTCACTTTTTTTCCCCAAACTTCTCCAAACAGTTATAACACTATAATACATCTTTTAAATAAATCCATGGTGTAATTGAAATGTGCAGCTATTTGCATACTGTACACACACTTCTCCCACCCAGGTGACTCCCACAAATTCAAAAATTAGAAAGATCTTCTAATTCACCATCAACTCAAAGGCAAATATAAACTTGCCCTCTTTCTGTTCTGCACGAAATTATGTTCTGTTTATTTACTTATGTAGGCTTGGTAGTTTGTGTCCCTACCCCCTCAAAAAGCTGTCTTCCTTTTAATTGGCTATCGGTTACCTCACTATTCATGAAAAAGGAAGGAAGAAGAGAGAGAAGAGAAGAGAAGGGAAGAGAAGAGAAGAGAAGGGAAGAGAAGAGAAGATTTACAAAATCACCCTTGCTCCTCCACAAAATAGGACTGGTTTAAACCTCTTCTTCACAAGGTTTTCTTAGAAGAATATCTATTGACAAGAGTTGATAGGAGAGACCTCTACAGGGAATTTTTCTTTCGTCTTAAACACTGTAAAACAGACAGGATTTGGCAGACTACCTACCCATTCCTCAGTGCTGGTCCTTCCAAACACAAGCCCAGCATCCTGCCCCTCCTCCTCTCACCTCCCCAACCAGGAGGCTGTTTTCATCTCCGGTTGCTAATTCTTGCAACTGTTTTAGGGTGGTACCTGAACATTCTCTGAGAACAGAGGACAGAAAATTAAAAAAAAAAAAAAAAAGAATCAGAAGGGCCAACATCATGAGAAACATACACTTTCCATGCACGCCATTTATACAGTCTCGGTGGGTTGCTCAAACGCTCGGAAAACGCACGCAAATCCAAATGTTGGGAGAGGCAGCCACACAGAACCGTTCCCCAGTTGTTCCCGACAGGAAAGGAGCCTGTGAGCCTGAGACGAGGCAAAATGAGGCGAAATCTAAAGCCCACCTCATTAGGGAACGACATTTTTAATTGCGCCCTCGCCTCCAGCCCTAGGTTCCCGCTCGCTGCTCGGGCACGTTAAGCAGGACACACTCACCCCATCCCAGGGGCTGGCCCCTGGAGCGCCGCGTAGCATCTGCACCTCCCTTCTCCCACCTCCTGGTTTATTTTTAACCGCCTTCCATTCATGCCCTTCTGTCACATTCTGGATATTATCTATCTATCCCTCAAATGTCCACAGTTTCTTTAACAGCCAAAGAGAAGAAGAAAGGTATCAATACTTACCGTTCCCAGGAGGGACGAAAAATAAAAATAGAGAGAATTCCCCGCTGGTTTGTTTTCCCCACTCTAGCTGCAACAGCTGGAGGAGGGGAAGGAATCGTCCGGTGAGGGTGGGGGGGACGGGAGGGGGGGGGACGGGGGACGGGGGAGGGACAGAAATCACTGGGGTTTGGCAGGTGGAACAAAATATCCACGGAACAAGTTCTGTGGCCTCGTCAGGGTGGGCACGGAGTCCTGGTTTCTAAAGCCAGGGAAATAGAGGAGGGTGGAAGGGGGCAGGATCGGAGCTGCCCCAAGGAAGACCCCCCCTCCACCCACCCAAGACTCCTTGTTCCTCTGGAGTTCGGCAGCACAGGACTGGAAAAGGAAGTCAAGACACACACACACACACACACACACACACACACACACAAATCCTAGACAGCAGCGATCACTTGTTAAGCTTGAATTCCTCCGATCTCCATCCCTCTCTGCGTCTCTGGGCTGGCTGTGGGAGCCGCACACGCCTCCCCTGCCCAGGATCGCGCCTGGCGGGGGCGGGGCCAGGGCCGTTCCGAGGGTGTGGCGTGCAGGGTTGTCTCCTGGGGAGCCTCCGGGTTCGGTGGGGCGGGCGCAGTCACGATGCCGCCCGACTCTCCGCCCTCCAGCCCAGCCCCTCTCTCCCCCCTCCACCCCCCCCCCCCCAGACTCCCAAGCTTCCTGGAAAAGATTCCCGGAGCATTTGGCTGTGGCTTCCCAGAGGCAAGGAGCAAAATCCCAGAGGGAGAGTGGTGTCCCCATTGGAGCTGCGAGAGTCCCGCAGACAGCCCAGCCAGGTGCCCCCAAACTGGTGGAGAGGGTGCAGTGTGAGAAACGGGATGCTTTGGGTGGGGTGGGGTGGGGTGGGGTGGGGGGCGTCTTCTCTTCTCCATCCCTGACCTGTTTTCTCTAGGTCTCTCTTGGCACCCCATCCTCCCTGCTCCCCTCAAAGAGAATGTGTGGAGTCCGAGGCCCAGGGTATCTTTTGGAAAGGCTGCCCCTCAGAGTGTGGCCCATTTCCGCCTCCGTCTGACTTGCACCCTGGAGTCTGTGGAACCTGGGCTCCTAGGTCGGGCCTCGCCCATGGGGAGACCACCGACTTGAAACGCGCGAGATCTGGGAGATGGAGCACTTGTCAGAACTGGAACCCCGCCCAGGGCTAGGGCTCTCCAGACAGAAATCCTAGGAGGGGAGAATGGGCCGTGACCAGGGGTTAGAGAGCTCCTGGCTGAAAGCGTTGGGAGCCAGGGCAAGAGCCCTCTAGAAAACTGTTGCTGCAAAAAGAAATTATTCAGCCAGAGGTTTGACTACTTGCCAGGAGGTCTCTAGCCCAGGACCTCAACTGTATCATCATCACCTCCATTTAGACACACACACACACACACACACACACACACACAAACTGGTTGTTCACCACTGTATTCCTAGCTACTCAGGAGGCTGAGAACAGAGAATCACCGTTCAAAGCCAATGGGGCAGCAAAATCCTGAGATTCT